ATATCGCCAGAACCACACGCCTTTCAAACCAAGGCACACACACACATGCCGGTTGCATGTATGCTCCATGGAACACATCTCCGTGCTTCTAGCAGTACAGGAAAAATAAGGTGACGTGCTTCCACATTCACACGATATCATATATTCTCGGTACGCGCCCCCCCCCCCCCCCCCCCCCCCCCCCCCCACCCTTTTCCCCCCCCTTTCCCCCCCACCCCCTAAAAAAAAATCCCCCCCCCCCGGGATATTAAACCCCCCCCCCCCCCCCCCCCCACCACCAACTCTTCTGAAGACGGCCGCGAATGGGAGGGCGTCAAGGGAGAGACGCGTCCGGCTGTCTCGAACAGAAAACCACGGCGAAATCAGGCTGCAAGCCACCACCCACAAACTTATCGCCGTCTTGTTTTGCGCTCGCCGCACGCTTTGTCGTTACACGCAGTCGCCGCAGGCGTTCAAGGGCGCGAAACTCGACGGGCCCACGCTGCACGCGGTGTTCTACTTAACGCTGAGGGAGGAGACAGCCAAGGCCCTCCAGGATCTAGAGTCGGCAGAGCCTTCCGTGCGACTACTCGCTGAGTACTTCAGGTTGGTTGGGGTTGTTCCGGGTCTCCTTGTTGGGGTTTCTTTTCTTGGCGTTGTCGTGTCTATTTCGTCTTCGCGTCGAAGTGACTTTTTTGTTTTGGCTTGGTCGGCGCGGCGTCCAGTTCTGAACTTGGAAAAATAAAGCCCCCCTACCGCAGTCTTGGCCAGTAGCCTCGCAACTAAGGGCATCAAAACGTGAATACGTCCCCCCCCCCAACGGCAGTCTAGTGCCATGGTACTGCTGTTCTTCGTCTCATACTGCTGTGGATGCTTCCGGGTGGGCCTTCGGGTATGACCGAAGGGCTTCGGGTGTCCGCTGGGGAGAAAATATGTAGCCTACGCAGGTAAAGAGCATGGTATTGGATGAAGTATGGAGTCGGTGGAATTTCGGGGGTTACGGTTGCAGGATTAGGGTCCACATAACCTCTATTTCATAGACAAACTCAATTTCTTCGCGCAAGCAGTCCCAGAAAAAAAGGTCGAACGGCGCGATACACGAGATAGTCTCGTGTCACCACCCAATATACGTACCCGTGCACCAACCGCCCGCGCGATTATTAAACAGGCGAGCAGAGTCGGAGCCGGAGATGAGGACGCGGTTCAAGGCGATAGCGGTGGTAAACAACCAAGAAGTAATCAACATGGCGCGCTTGATAGCCCCCTTCAATGGCAAGCCCGTCCTCATCACGGAGAGCGGGACGCTGATGAGGGGCACACGCAGACCGGGCGCAGAGGGGGAGGGGGCTCCGGATTCTGTTGCCAGGGTGGAGAGCGATAGCGCTGGGAGCAACGGCGGTAGCAGCGGCAGTAGTAGCGGCGGCAGCAGCTTTGGGGCAGACGAGTTTTTGGAGCTGGACATTCACGTGAGGCGATGGAACTTCATGGCGCGAAAGGGCCTCAGCAAGCTCACCCCCAAGTTCGGGTTGATAAACGTCAGCGTCGCCTTCCTTGTGGAAGGGAGAGAAGACAGCGAGGTAAGGCCTAAAAGACAGGCCAAGCATGTGTGCATTTTTTTTTTCCTAGCATCGACCACGCTAAGCTGCTGACAAATGAAAAAGCGTCAGTCTAACGGCAATGCGGCTATAAACGGAAAACACTTCTGGGGACCCCGTGCATGTACGACGCGCGCGCGTGTGTATGTTTCTTCGAATACCATCGACCGCGCCAACCGGCTGACCACTGAAAAAACACGCCGGTCTTGTCAAAGGGACAACGAATCACGAACACGCTGTGTGTTTTGAGCGGGTCCAGACACACACCTCGCTGTCGCTTGTTCGCTGGACGTGTCAATCTGTCGGGCGGCACCATACCCCCCCCCCCCCCTCCCAAGGCCCTGCCTTGCTGTCATCTTTCGTTGTGGCGAGCGGCTTGGGTGCACTGCCGTGACCGGCACCGAAATTCCACCGGTGGGACGCGGGCTGTGTCCGCGTTATGAAGACAGGAGTTATTATATCGTTTCCGTCTCCCACCACCCTGCTTGTGACCCAGTCTCTAGGCCCGCATCGTGCGTGTAAACAACGTGGAGAGTTTTTAAGTTGGGTTTCACCAGAGCAGCGTCCCGATCACACCAGAGGGATGCGAATATTTTGTAGCTTCCTTTTCGGAAGGGAGGGCTGGTGCTTTGACACGCATCTGTTTATGAAAGACTTCGAAAAGCATCCAGCCAGGAATCGACCCGCCCCCCCCCCCGAAACAGACTTTTGTAAACCAAGCGGCGGCCACAGCAGTAGCAAAGCGTGTACTTTTTTTTACCCCGCGCCCTCCCCCTCCCACTGTGCCGCCCTTCGCCCCCACGGTGACCTCTTTCGCCAGTGCTGTGCTCGCTCGCTGCTCGTGTTCCACGCTGCCTCTGCTAACGTGCTTGTAGTCGGTCAAGGAGCTCCATGTAGTCGCGTCGCCCTGGCCAGCGCCCCCGGTTTGAAAAACGCCGTCTAGCTCATGCAACCCCTCCCCGGTCACTATCCCTTTTTCTCCTTCTCGGACGTTTTTTTTTCTTTTCTGTTTTTTGCAGCTGCCTGAACAAATTCTGGGGTGCGCAACCGTGAACTGCTTCGACACGACGAAGGCGCGAGAGGTCGACGCATGAAGAGCTGTATACATGCGACACGGGTGTGGGCTTGGGCGTGTTGTGTTTTCAACACCCGCCGCCCCTTTTTTTTTCGGCTGCATCCAAAGTAGCGGCGCACGCCTAGGTAGGTAATGGTGCCGTTTAGAGTTTTTGGTTTCAAGGGAAAAGGTGCAGTGGGCAGCGGTGTGGTGTACACGAGCCACGTGCTCGGAGTTAGTTTCTGGGGGGGACGTGCTGGGTGTGTGCTTGGCGGCGGCTCGATAAATGTCGGGAGAGTCGTCAGTGGCAAGCGTGCTTTGTTTTTTATGCTGTTGTCGTCTCCGGGGGGGAGGGGGGGGCGTTCAGCGGCCTTTTTCTGGCGTGATGAGTGTGAGAGACGGCACGGCACGGGAGGGTAGGTCAGAAACCATGGTATGGAAAACAATTAGTGATTTGGCCTACCGGTCTGCGGTGTGTCGTGGCAATGCTACGATTTTCAGGTGCACCTCACGGTCTTGCTTGTATGTAGCTACATACATCGTTCGTTGTACGTACATAGGGTTCCGTTGGCAAGTTTAAGTTTGCAGGATTGTTCTCCCCTGTTATATCAGGGATGGGGTGAATGGAAGGTGGCTGTATGATAGTGTGGACACAGAGAGGTTGGCGGCTTGTATAGGTGCGTTTGCGTGAGAAGACCGAAAGTGTTTCCCACAGTTCGCCCCCTGTACCGCGGTCTGTTGGTATCCGCGAAACCTTCAAGGGGTCAGGATGTTGGCGAACCACCTCGTGAAACGCCCTGGGAATCTCCCTCTCGTAGTTGGTAGCAACTGCCGACTTTGTTGAAGACAAGAGAATCGCTGCGCCCTCTTCTCGACAAAGTTTTGCGCACGAACCGCGGACGGATTCACCTTTTTGTGACAACCCGCAACATAGTTTCTCAGAAGTAGAGAGCCGAAACGAAACCGCGTTGTAAGCAGATTGTGCAAGCGACGCTGCCACTAGAGATAAGTTTATTCGGCTGATAGAGAAAAAGCTGGGCTTCACATGCCGGGAGCGCGTAATATAGAGGTCTTGACAGCGGTGCCTACTGTACTCTCCGCCGAAGGTTGCGGAGGACAAGCCCGTTGCTCCAAACCACCGACACGAGTCCTGGGTTTGCTTGGGCTTTGGTTTTTTCCTGTCAAGGCGGCGGGAACCACGCTGCGGCGGCACAGGAGGACCGAACCATGCGAAAGAGTAGCCGCAGAGCACACGCGTTATGCGTGATTGTTGTTGCTGCTGTTGCTGCGCTTTGTTTGGTCGTTTCGACGGCATACCGATCGCTCCGCTGGCGATACATGTGCTGCTCTCAGTGGCATGGGGTTAGGTCCAACACTACCGTGATGTAGTCAGTTCTGATCCTCTCGCCCCCCACACTTGCCGTAACGGTTACTCCTGAGAGCATGGTTCGGTGCACGCTTCGCCGACGACCTCGATTTTTTTTTTCCAATATTATCGGGACCGCGGTAGTCCGAGTTGGTTCCCAAAGCTTTGCGGGTCGGAAGTCGGAAGGGAGTTCTACGCGGCTTCGCATCAATACGATGACTTCTCCTGATGGTCTGCCCTTGGTAAGGCGACTTCTTCGTGCGGGAGAGAGCAGAGCACCTTGCACGGTGACCTTCGGCACACAGCTGCAAAATATGTTGAAATCGTCATACGGTTACGGCAAGAGGGCCGGCCGCGCGCGTCTTCGCTCGCTCGAGCTGGACGCATCTGAGGGCCGAAATCACAGTAAATCCTGGTCAAGCACAAGTTTGTTTCAAGTTCTCTCAGCGGACGCACCGGCAGCAATACGCGCGTTACATTTCTGTTGTCAGAGTCAACGACGACAACGATGTATGTACATTAACGCTTCTTGTTTTTCTCTCTCTCTCATTCCAGCAAGCAACAAAAACGCCACGCTTGAAAGAGGCCCAATGCTTGAGGCCTGCTTCGTGGCCTCTCTCTCTCTCTTTCTCTCTCTCTCTCTCTTTCTCTCTCTCTCTCTCTCTCTCTCTCTCTCCCCTACGGATGACTGAGAATACCACCGCCAAGACTGCTGAAGTTTTCAAGGTTTCCTATTTAGCTCTCTCCTCTCTCTCTCTCTCTCTCTCTCTCTCTCTCTCCCTTCCTCCCTCCTTCCTTCTATTCCTCTCTCTTGTTTCTTTCTCTCCGCCCCCCCCCCTCCTCTCTCCCTCTCTCGTCCGCTTGCCCATCATGCCGACTCAAACTCCCCCCCACCCGTCTTCATCTTCATCACCACCGCCGCCACAGCCGTCCCCAACCCCCCCCTCGCCCGCTGCCACCTCCTCCTCCGCCGCCGCCGCCGCCGAGCCTGGGGGGTGGTCCGCACCCGACGCCGCCGCGGCGGGTGGCGTTGTTGCCGCTGCTGTCGCCGGTGTCTCGCTTAGCGGCGGCGTTGTTGTTGTCACTGCTGCTGTTGTCCTAGGCGAAACCGGCGGGGGGGGAGAGACGGCGGCGACGGAGGCTCCCTTGTACGTGGCTCCCGGGAGCGGGGGCGGGGCTAACAGCAGCCCGCCCCCTTCTTTGGATGCGGCGGCGGCGGCTTCGCTCTTCGGACGTCGACGGGCGCGCGAGCCGCCGCCGCCGCGGGCGCCGCTTCCGCCGCCGTTCGA